AATACATGCTGCCCCCCTCTCAACCATGTCTTCTTATGTTTTCTCTATAACAATTAACAACCAAACAAATGAGTTATTGAAAACTAATTTCCTTATCAATTTCCCTACTAACCAAATGAAAATATATTTGTTAGTTTCTTTGACTTTCTTTTCCTTCATAATTCCTCGAACCAAACATAGTGTTAATTGTTATATAACTGAATTCAACAAATATTTAGTAATGTAATGATGCATAGAAGTGAGTAATGAAAGAAAGTTGAGCAATCAATGCACACAGTAAAGTCTCAGCTTAGGAGACGGATTGCACAATTCAAACATCGAAATCAGATTTGGATATAAAACCAAGGTCATTAGGTTTTTTACATTGTTGGAACTATTCGAACATTGATATCAACTTCACATATTAAACCACATAGGTTATCAGCGGCGAATCTAGAAAAGTAGTATTTTTTTTGGGGGGGGGGGTCACGCCTTTACATTTATTTTTAAAATTATTTAAATAAATTTTTTTTCTATAAAACCAAAAGAAATAAATTACATCCATGGGATGAATTGCACCCCCCTCCCTGTCCAAATGTTTTTAATCCGCCCTCGGAGATGATTTGTTGGATACATTTTGCATTACAGCCCAAACCCATAACGGGTGAACTTATGCTGGAGAAAACCATGCAAATTCATAATCTTTTTACCTAATATGGAGAATATCAAGAGAATGTTATCAGTCTCAGGAAAGTAACAATCAGTATGTTGTGAACTTCTCATACCTTCTGAAAGGTCACGATATGCAGGCAATAATGGAGCAAAGCCATCATGTGAAGGTGTAGACGTTGCAGGAGGACGTTTTTTCAGTGCAGTGTTCTTCTGCAAAGGCTTTGGGGTCTGGAATGAAAACCGGGATAAACTTACACCATCATGTACACACTCAGGGTGTTCCTCCAAGTACCTGCAGAAAAAGAGCTGTGAGATTATAGGACAACATAACAAATACTCCGCTGGTCCCGTAAAGTATGCCAAACAATTTAAATATGTTAAATTCAGTTAATTTAAGAAATAAATTTGAAAAATATAACTCTCTTTGATGGTTTCAAAGAGTTGTATCTTATCAAAACTAACAAGTTACACTTGTAGAAAACAAGCCTCTTTTTATGGGATGGAGGGAGTAAGGGATAAATTGGCATGTAGTCGCGCTATACACAATATTAGCATGTGCCCATGAATCACGGGAAAAAAGGGAAAGTTGAACAAAGATATCTCCTTGCAATTTCCAGGAATACCTCTCAATTTCAACCATGGATCGGAATCTCTTGCCCGATGGCGAAACATAATACCTGCAGACAAAGGAACCAGTGAAGAAATGATAAATTAATATAACGTTTTAAAGCAATGAAGGAGTAGAACTCATGGGGGGACATTGAAGCATACACATCTGCAAATCTAGTCCCTCCATCACCTCTGATTCTCAAAAGCCTCTGCCAGCCACGAGGGGGGACAGCAATATTGGGTTTATCAATAGCCCAGAGGCTACTTCCATCTTGAGTAATATCTGGTGGATCATCACAAGATATCTCAGGCTTCCATTCCCGAGCCATTTCACATAAGAAGGGAACTTCTAATATATGTTCCCTTATCTCCTCGTATTTTTCCTTCTTTGGGATAAGCCTCCATTTGAAACAATTGGCACACTGAACAGCAAAAGCCCCAACAGATCGGTACACTTTGGACGCACCAGGTAATTGGGGAGATTGCGAAGAATCGGGAATTAGGGCAATTTCGGCAGCACCATTGACGGAAGGATCATAAATCACCAACTGGTTTTTACCATCTTCCTTATTCCCATTCTGCTCATCATCAGTAGATGCCCTATCATCTTGCTCCCCTCCAGAAGTAGGCCATGACGGTTTCTGCGGAGAGTTCTCAACGGATTCATGAGATCTAAAAGCTCCAAACTCATTTGGCCCTGTACTCATCGTATCCAAGGGATTGTTAGAAACTAGCTGCAGGTATCAATTTCTTTAACACACGAAATACTTGGAAAAAATCGTATCCATGGGATTGTTAGAAATTAGCTGTAGGTATCAATTTCTTTTCTTTATCACAGGAACAACTTGGAAAAATGGCCTTTCTCTATGAGATGGAGGCCGGCAAACTTGTAATTAAAATTATTTTAGAATGAAAATTACAACACAAAGGTTCCCATGACATT